AACATTTCTATCTTCGCGTTGAATAATGCAGATATGTTCTTACAATTTACTTATTTGAAAATGAGAGCCAGGTCTGCTGTCTACTTTCCAAAATTGGCATTGTTTAGTGTTAGGAGTAGTCACTATTTTTATAACAGCCATGTAATTGTCAGATTTCACCCTCTGACCATACCTAACGACAGTCATAGCATTGTGAGCTCGTTTTACAATTTCTAATTGGTCAATCAGTCACTCACCTATAAACGCATTATTGGAAGATTATTTCTAAATTGCGTTTGTGTGAAATGGAAATTGTCACTTAAAATATTTTAGATCATTGTTCGTTTATTTTGTAGCTTATGAATCCTTAACATGGTTAGTATTGGGGTGAGATAGCGTGTATGACTTACATGGTGATAATAACGGCATATAAAAAGTACCGCGCTGCACGGTGACTGGCGGTGACGTTTACGGGGGCTTTGACAAATTAATGTGATAACGGAAATTAACATGAGTTATGATTAAAATAAATAGTTACAATATAAACTTGCAAGGAAAGTGCACGTTAGTTACATAGTGTTACACCTTTGCGAGGTTTTTTATTATCAAAATTGTACCGTAGCGCCCATGCAAATATTAAAATCTTTCATAATATCTATGGTAGCGCCTTATTACTATGAGTACTATGAGAGATTACTATGAGTAATAAGGCGCTATGCTAGGAGTTTTTGACTTCAAGTTTCACTGGTACACTCTAGCCTCCTGCTCACGTCTGGGGCAAACATTTTCCTCATCCCAAAGATGTTCTTTATTTTTAATCCTTTCCTTTCAGCGCAACTCTGGCTACTGGTAATTATATTTCTCATTTTAAGACCTTGCTTTGATTTTTTCCATAAAGTAATTAGATCATCAGACTAATACCCTCAAAGAGAAAAAATATGAAAGCTTACTTTTTTGAAGTGAAAGCTCTTGAGTTCTTAGTAAATTATTTAATATTCGAGATTTTTCCAAAGCCATAGTAAGACTTCTTATTGCCGTAGGTAATTGATCTTACGGATACCTTAGTAGTGCCAATTTTATCGTTAATTATAATTTTATGTAGTAATAAGTTAGTTATGGTAACATTTTGTTACCATGGGTTTACAAAACATACCATGGAGATGTTTTGTAAAGCTAAAGAAACCAACTTTTAAAATGTATGGACCAAGACTTGTATATGAACATGTTTAAGACGCTTCAAAATTAAGTTTACCTTAATATTACCTAGACCCTTCAAATATATAAGTAAAAACAACAACACGACATTGTGTATTTATGACTGATCTCAAAAAAAAAAAAACTGTTGTCTTACCTCGAGCACGTGATATTACTGGGGGATTTGTGTGGAGTTGGTTTCTGATGGATGAGCAACGACCTAAAGCCGCGCTCGCTGGAATTCCTATATCTGTTATCGCGGTTTAAATAAACCTAACAAAACGAAACCTCAAAGCGACCCTGAAGTTGACTGTTTTTATAGATTTGGGATCAAACACCTGATTTTGTCTAAAACAATATAAAATAGAATAATATAAAAACCCGGTAGGTACCTGATATTATTCTGCTGTTTGGTTAGGCAGAAATGCATCTCAATGTTAATTATATTTTGGTTGCGACTTGTGAGCAAATCGCAATAAGTTAATGTCGTATGGGTCGGTGAAAGTTAAAAAAGGGTGGTTTTTACTCAGTAAGTCTTTCTCGCCTCTCACCCAGGGAGCGGGAGGGGAGTCATTCGATGATTTTCGTATTTCGTAATATCCAAAATCATATTACATTTAATTTGAGTATCACGTATTTTTAATAAGCACATACACTGTGCGCACCGAAGTGAAGTAGCGAAGTTCACAAAGATCTCCTAGGGATCGGCTGAGGCATCCTAGCAGACCGCAGTACGGTTCGGTTCTATTTCAATTTTATGTTATTACTATCTATAAGCCTAACAGTGCAATGCAGGAATGCAGTTATTCCATTTTGTAGTAAATCATTGTGACTACAAGTATTCAAATAACTTAAGCCCACAGCTCGAATTCTTAGTATCTGATACCCATGGCTAACAAATGACCAAATTGTACACAAATAAACCGTATAAGGTCTTTAAGGTAGTGAAACGCTTTGATGTACGGATCAGACATAACGACGTGTTAATCAGATTCACTATTAGCTACTTTTTACTGTATTCTGGATACTTAGTACCGTTTCACCCCAACGCTAAAGCAAATCACGTTAAACCATGTCTCCTACTTTTGGTCTCTCTCTGGTCGTGTGCGATTGCAGTTATATCGGATTATGAGAACGAGCGAGAACACAACGAATCGAACAGCAGAATATTGTTGTATCCGTATCATACGGACCGTATAAACATTCTTTGACGTCAATTATTTTGGTGTTAAGGCCTAGGCCGCCCTCCGGTTAAGCCGCATCGATTTTGAGCCGCCTGAGATTATAAAACAAGTAAATTAATATAAGCAGATGCTGAGCACTTGCTGTTTTTCCCATAACTGATTCTAAAACAGCAAATTGTTACAAATTGTATCGAATCGAAAAAAAAGCCACAAAAGTAGTCAGTACAGAACTTAGTGGGTAGACTAAGTTGAAGACCGCAGGTCGCAGTTTATGATCGTCATATAAGCATCTCCATCTCTAAGGTTGGTTAACCGCTTGCCGGAAAAAATCAGTGTAGCTAAGTCTAAATCGGGGTGCATGTACGAAGAAAAAATTATTGTTCGGGTGCAATTAAAAATAATGGATTCATATGAATCTCTAGGTGCTGGGGTATAAAATGGTTGTCTATGAAAGAACTGAAGTAGTGTCACCAAAACAATGTACGTTGAATATTATTTACTAGAACTGGGTAGACAGAGACGTGCTGACCCACTAACCGGGTACCCCATTTGTTACTTAAATCACAGCAATGTGGGGAACGGATACGTGATTGGCTGAAAAAGGGTAGAGTTACCCAATATTTCTACTTTTATTATTTTCATATTATATCACTAATGCTGGTTTTTCAATTCTATTCCGGGATGAATGCAAGTCATAAGCATTAAACCTGTTCCTTATGTGATTGTGCTCAAAATATACCCGAAATGGGGAACTGCGATTGCAACCTGCAACATTCAGTTGCGTTTTCTCACGTTTAAACCCCTCTTTCCTTTTCTATTTTTTGTATTTTTTTTAAAGAGTGCTTCTAAATGTCATACAACCCTAAACTGTGACCCTCTTGCCACTGTTATTCTCCCACGTTCCAATTGATTTCAAATACGTTCAATTTCTAGTTAGATTCGCATTCGCAATGACAATATACAAGTCGGTCATACAATTTTTCATAAATGGACAATACGTGTCATCTTGTAGTCAGAAATGTATGGGGAAGGTTAAATTCCCTCAAAATGCGTACCGTAAAATAAATTTCTAACAAATGTTTAGATGGAACACCGCTACAAAAGACAAGTGAAAAATCCAAATGTGTAAAAGTAAATGCTTAAATCTCCATGTACAAAAGTTAGTCAGCCGTGAAAGCTCAAATCCGATAGAGATCTGTCAGAATGATAATTTTAATTACGTATAACTTTAATCAAGTTACAAGCTCTCGGGTCATCTTTAATTCAATATCTTTCTTCAATAAATGATGATCAGTGTGAAAGAATATATAATATGTGCTCAAGCTCAAGCTCAACGGTAATCGGCAAATGTGAGCAGCCCACCGGTTCAGGTCGCTAAAACTTTAGTACAACGGTTTATTTTTTTTGTTATTATGGATCTGTTAATAAATGACACAAAAACTTAAATAGAATCCAGCGTTTGATAAATGTGATGACAGACTCCTAAAAGCTTATACCCAAAATCTGTCCCTCCTCCATCGAGAACTTACACTCATCTACGTGTTGATTGGAAATTGTGAAAGATATATTTCGAAACAAACTAAAATAAACCACCTGAAAAGAGATAACGGTAATCTTTGTGATCCATTAATCTGGATGTAGAAAAACACTAGTCACTTTGCGCACTTTTGATTTCGTACGAATCCTATTGCACCGGCGCCGGTGGCGGAGCGGCCCGTTCTAAATGACTACTCGTTAGAGAGGCTACAATCGCACGAGTTCTTATTTGAAGGCGTAGTTACTCAAGCGTCAGCGAGTAAAAAAACTTGTTCATTGAATACTGCAGAAAAAGCTAACGCTTTTAGAGGCATGAAACTTTTGTATGTGGATGAGGTAAATATTTTGTAAGAGGGAGAAATAAATCTATAAACATACGTAATTTAGGTATTGTGTGTATTTTTCACACCGCTCGAGTTGCTTAATTTGATTTGATTAGTAATTGTAAAACGTTGTCAATACTTTTTGTGGATACAAACTATTGTGAATTCATACGTAGAGTAGTAAAATACTTTACGATTATCGAGTAATTTGCTAACTGTGATACCCATCTCTAATCTATCAGTTGAACAAGTTTCGGAAACAGACGCGTGACTGTTGACACGTTTCACAGGTTGGTGCCGCTGCCGCGTCTCTCTTGGTCACTAGACACGGAGTAGCCAACACTTCTCTCCTCAACTTGACACCTTATGAATCATAAACAATTCAAAGCATTTGTCATTTCATCTATCCTGAAAAGCCTTTCAAAACGGAGTTGCGTGTAGTTTTTATTTACTTAGAGACATGCTGTTGTTTTGACATTGACCATTTTTGACAGATGAAGAGTCATGTTTGTGCAGTACTGTACTGTACTGTACGAGCGAAATGATGACGTGCCGGTTGCTTCCGTGCAGAGCAGCAAAATTCAGTGTTTATGAACGTAAGCAATGTTGGTGTGAGTGGTAGTGTGTCACGCTGGACGTGGGTCTCTGCGCGTCGTCGTGTCGTGTTGCGGTACAGTGAGAGTGGCATGGCAGCAACATCGTGTCGCGGTTAGGGCGAGCGCGGTCGATGAGCCCGACGCAGAGGGCAGCACGGAGCCGCCGCGGGGGGCGCTCCCGCGGCCCCCGCGCCCTTTTCACTACCCCGTCTGCTTGCGCACTCTGTATAGCCGCGCCGCGCGCTCACTAATGCGTCATATCGCCATCGAAGCTAACGCGCTTTCTGCCGCTCTATAACTATAGTTCGCGCGCGCCATGTGAACTTATGTGTTGACTTATGTAGAGACATGAGACGCGTCGGCGTGGTCGGGAAGCTTGATTTCGACTTCATAATGACTTTTGCCGTTATGGACAGTGACTTTGGTGCCTGTGAGCTGAGAGACAATATAGTGGTACACGCGGTGGGCGCACGTGCTCTCCTCTGCTTCCTAAAACTGAGTAAGTTTGAGACAGTTTATTTTAAAGTGTGACTGGATTACTGACGTCGATTCGCCGCTAAGTCGGTACAGTGCGCGTTATTTTCGCAGCGCACAACGGACCGCGGCGCCGGCCGCCCGGAATGCGGCCTCCGCCCCACCGCGCGTTGTCGGCGCCGAACGCGCCGCGCGTAGCGTAATAAATAAAGGCGGGGCGCGGCTGCGTGCGCGCGCACCCTCCCGCGCTCTCCTCGCCCTCGGGTCATTGACTCCCGTCCGCCACCGCCGCCGCCGCCGACGCTGCCGAAGACAACAATTTTCGGAAGCGGTATCGCGCTCTTGGCCCCAGCGAGGTTCACCGGCCCGCGGAAACTCCAATGTCAATGCCGATGGATAGGCGTAGTACGTAGTAGCGAGGCGATCGGTGCCCCGAAACGACATTTTCCTCATTTGCTTTCACGCTACTATGCAGCAATTAACCCCAGGGCTGCACCTGGTCTCTTGACAACACCACCCCTAAACAAGCTAACCCCATCCAAATTCTATAGAATAATGTGTTTTACTTTCACAAAACCGGTTACAGAAATAGCCGACCGACCGTTTATTTCCTGTGGACTACTCGATTTTCTTGTTCGTTTCACGTTGCTGAGGAATATTAGATTTTTTTCTCATTTCCCTGTAGATAAGCATTTGGCCCGACGTCTTGTTTTTGTTGTGCTCAAGCCACATCATGTTGTCTCTTTCACTCATACGTTTTTCATATAGGTTGGTACCTATTTGCTGTTGTTCGATTGTTAATTGTAGCTGTATTTGTTACCTAACTAGGTACTACCGAATTTCTATACTTTTATTTGGATATTACAGGCTGATCGATAATATCCATAATTACAATACCTAAAAGGAAAATACTTAATAGGGCAAACTATGGGCACATAGCTAAAGATTTTTTCAAAGTTTAACGGACAATAATACTCTTTAATTACCGACAGACTCCGTTATTTTATCAGCATTGGAAGTTTCGTAGAACGCTAAAAATAAATCTTGAACTTCCCGGTTGAATGGCGTCGCCGGCGCGGCAGAGCGCGGGGAGTGGCAGGCAGCCATTGCCCTCGCTTGGTTTGTTTACAACTTAGGCCTGAGGATCGACATGATCCTATTTGCACCCTGTGCATTTCATCATAGGGTGCATATTCGTCCGTGATAAGCGGTGAGTGTGCGACCCCTGCGCCCGCGCCATCTGCGTGCACGCACACGATTAAAATAAACTGCCAACGATAGATAGCTAGAGCGTAAAAAGGAGCGTCGGACCCGTCGCCAGGTGCAACGCTACCCTCGTTTGCAGTTTACAAAGGTGCGCCTAGTGTTAGGTCAGTTATTACCACGAGTTTTGCGGCCGAAGACCCCGTGGCCTCGTGCCAATGACCAGCCCGCCTCGTCGGGCCTCTCGATCCAACGGCTAACTTCGTTAGATCCACGTGTTACTCATTACGGATTTATGATAGCATTAATAAAAATGAAAAACATGTCCTCTCGGCCATGTCAACAACTTCAAGTTTTGGTTTTCAATACCATTTAAGGTCGCCGTTTTTCGAAAATATTTAACTTTCTAAGTTAATGTTTGATGATGCTGATTCAGGTCTCCAAAAAATCACATTCAGTTGAGCTTAGTTCCAAATTTTTGTATGGATAAGTAATAGAGTACTACCTATTTTACTATTTTACTTACCTCCACCACTTGTTTTCGCGCAACAACTCAATTTTTCAAACATTGTAAGGATTTTCTTACCCCCTCAAACGCTTCAGATCGCATGCCCTTTTCGCCATGTGTAGCAAAACAAAAACGTATACATGGGGGCGGTTGTGAAGGATCTTCAACAAGTTGCGGGGCAGGGAAACATGCGCGCGCACCCTCGGGAGTTGAGACGGACATATTTATTTATGTCTCTGGTCCTTGTGTAAATACAAGCAATGTGGTTAAATAATACATTATGTACTTATGTTTATCACTGGGATACGTACATAATATGAATCCAACATGAAATAAACACTGATACTTAGTAAATGATTAGAATTTTTTAATAACCCTTGTACGTATCCATTCCAATTGGGGTTTCGATTGATTTTCGCCTTAAGTATTATGATTGATAAGAGAAAGACAGAAAAACGTTATGTAACAATGTCTTTGGAATTTTTGGTGTAATATGGTCTCTAACTTACTACGCCGAATCGAGCTGTCGTCGACACTATTAACTGACTTAGTTTATGTATTGTTATTTTTAATATGTCTTGCAGCGGTAAGATGTGTAAAATATTGTAAACGGGGCTCATTAGTTGTGCGAACGCAGGCCTCGTGCGAAGTGGAGTGCAACGAAGCCATTGCTGCCGCGACGAGCGGCACGCAACGCGCGGTATGCGAAGAAAGCTCATCTTAAACACATCGTAACCTAATAGTAATAACTATAATTCATACGCCGCTATTACTGATTTTGGTAGTTTTCAATTACTATTATTGAAAAAGATAATTATTTACGTGGAAAAAGAAAGCTAAATATTTTCAACATTTGTTGTCCACATATGCAACAAAATATTTTGTCATACGTGATATCTCATATTCATTAAATCCTAACAATTTATCTCTATAGTGCGAGGTCAATAAAAATTCATACACAATGACCGTGATCTTGGGGAACCTTGCGTAACAGTTTCTTGTAAAGAGAATTAGTAAATTCGACTCACTTAAACATTCACAAATTAGTAAACTAAGAATATTAATGTTTAAGATGGTCATCAGAACATTTTAATTCGCATGTGATCTAAAAATAATGCTTTTAAACATACTGGATCTACTTAACTACCGTTCTGAGAAATATTTAAGAAATATATGTAATATACTAGATACAGACGTTACAATGAGTGCACTAAATCATTGCCAACGTATGAATTGTCCGCGTGCACTGCACCGCACAGTATGCTCAATATTGCACATAGCGCGTTTGGAAAGCTATTATTCACGTCCACGCTTCATTGAGTCACAATGCTCCTTTTCTTGCAGTAGTATTTTAGAGATACAGTGTCAAGTATATATCTATACTCCATAGTTTATAACAAAAACATAGGCCCTTTAAATTATAAATACCGCAATCCACAAACCTACCCCCTTTAAATTATAGAGTTCTATATGATGCATAGACAGTTGTGTATCCACATTCCCGCTAAGGACATTGCCAGTTGGTAACCATTTACTTTATAAACACAAATTTAAAATATCCTGATTGACTCTTTCTTCAAAGATGAAACGACTTACTTAGCTTGCGGCCAAGAACATTTTAGGATAGATTAGACTATTCAGGTTGTTAACGGGACTTTACTACAAAACCTGTCTGGCTGCTACGCTCTCGTCACACACTGTTGTTTTAACATCTAGAAAGTCAGCTGTTGAATACACGGAACATTCTGTAGTCTAAAATATTGATTTTATGTGGAATCTGAGCTTACCCCAAAAGTATGGTTGGATAATTGTTTTGAAGATTATCATAGAACCGTATTGGACGAAGATCTATTGTAATTGGAATCTTATGAGTCTTCTGACGAAGTTACCTTCATACGAATTGTCCGAGGGATTGTGCGAATGGGCAGCTAGCTTTCTGACTGGCTGGATAAGAGGTAGTTGTTCTGAAAAAATAAACCAAGGCTTGGTGCCTCGCAAGGCTCTGTACTTTCTCCGACGCTGATTCTTCTGCATATCAATGATTTGCTGACTATTGACGGCATTCATTGCTATGGGGATGATAGCACCGGGGACGCGGTTTACACGGGCCGTGCAAACGTCCCTTGTTCCGTTGTGGAAGAAAGTTGCGTACAACTTGTATCTCAAATCGACAGTACCTTATGACGAGTCTCCGGTTGGGTTCAGTACCATGGATCATAGATCCGGTTTAAACCCTCCAAGATACAAGTTTGTGCGTTCACTGCTAAAAACCCCGTTCGCTGTGGTCCCTCAATTCCAAGACACAACCCTTGTCATCTCCAAAAGTATAGGTACCCTTGATGTCAACATATCTCGTGACGTCCAGTTTCGCAGTAACTTAAAAGCTAAGGCCAAGCTGGCATCTAAATACTCTGTGTGCTAAACAGAGCAAAGCGATGCCTCACGCTGGAGCAAAGACTGCTTTTACATAAATCGCAAGTTCGCCCCCATATGGAGTACCTACTGCTCTTACTCGCCATCGACATGGAGTTCACGATCACACTGTGGAATCCAAAAGGTCCCGTACACTTCGGTTTCATAGGAATTTCCTAACACGGATCCTCTGATTGTGAAATGACATGGGGTTCTTCAAGAAGGAAAGAAATAGGTTTTATAAGGGTCGGTAAGGTGCATATAATGCCCAAAGTGTCGCAAGCGTTTGTAGGTCACGGTAACCGCTTACAATCAGGTGGGTCGCGTTTTTAGCCACAGTCGTGGTATAAAATAAATTAGTCTAGACGTTTACAATTTTTAAAATAGATATGTGTGATATTTCATACTCTAATAAGCGTAGTACAGAAGTCGCGGTACGGCGCATACAAATATGATGACTCACTTGGCCAGCTAATCACCAATGCAGTATTTCGTCTGGTGCGTAATTTCACTTTCGAAACTGCTTCAGACTACTCTCATTATTTTTACATTAACTTGTAACAAATGTGAACTTATAAAATTGTTATGTTGTTATAAATATCTCGGTTAGTAAGCATTCACTAGTGTCAGTTTAAAACGGTCACAATTATTATCGGAGCGACGACCGCTGGGTTGATAGAATTGCAAGCGCTGCAGGATGTGACGTCATCGTTTCGACAATTAACTGCCTACGTAGTCGTAGTCTTAGACTAAGTTCGAAAACCTAATCTTACTAGTTCGAGCCTTACCTAACAGGTCTGAACCTATGACCCTGTCTGTGTATCTAAATATGCAATTCAATTATAGATATGTACCAATACCCACTTATATGCTTGATTTCTTTATTGCATAAAATTGAAATAGTTTTTTTTTTGCAGGAATAAGCCACCATGGGTATTTCATAAATAACTTTATATCCTCATCAATGCCAATACCTTATCATCTGCTACTACGAATATTTTGAGAATCAATAGAAGAAGTATTTGATTTTACAAATATTTGTTTCAAATTCACTTATCTATCGGAAAGTCACACAAAAATTAAACAAAATAAAGATAGTCCGAGTCCTTGACTTGTGTATTTAAATGCAGCCATAAATATGGAACTAACCTAAAACTCCAAAAAGCTTCTGTCCAATACAGTAATACACTGAATTTCATTTGGATATTTAACAGTATAGTATAGCCAGAAAGGTAACCTAAAGTCTACCTAATCATTTATTTATATTCTTCAATAGAGATAAAAGCAGTAAAATAAAACCACTAAATTCTTCAAATCCCTGAACTTCCCTAAATCGTGTTAAAGTGTTAACAAAAACGTATAACTTGACAATACTAACACTGAGTGGTTCACTTGAAATGTCAAGTTACGTGACTTGGAATTGTATGATTGAATTTGAATGAATAACTTTGAATGCGTAACCGGTCATCCGGTGGATCACTGTAGTTTCTAATTTGCAGCCGCTTAGGATGCGAACGACCCATTCGACATTCAGAATATTAAACAACAGTCAATTTTATACAATAGAAAATTATTTTTTAGTGTCCAATGTTGATCGAATTGTATCTTTGACCTTGGGAAATGCCGCTTTAGTCAGAACAGAAGTGTGTTAGCGCTCGGTGCACTAAGATTTTCGCTCCGGTCCGGAAATCTGGGGTCTCAAAAAAAGATAATGTCGGTCACGCGACGTGCCGTTACATCAAGTAGAGCGACGCTGCACGCATTTAACATTAACATAGCTAACGTGACCGTGAATACGCCATGTTCGATGTCTAGCCGAAGTAGCCGACGATTCTACATCTTCTTTCTGACTACGGTACGCGTCAGAGCCATGTCCGAAGATTAATTACTAAATGAATTTGGCTAGTTATACATACATATAGCAGGTATATATGTAGCAGGTAGGTATATATGTAGCCAGCTTGGTGTAATGAACTAATTCTGTCAATTGAAACGAATGTGTCGAGGTCGCCAACATCCGCTTTGTTAATTAATTAATTGCCTAAAGTAGTAGCTTGACACCTCCCGTGCCCGTTCCCGGTCTGGCCATACACGACATATGTGACCATAGTAAACATTCCATTATAACATATAGCAGCTGCAGTCTGGCTATATTGTCTAGGAGTTCAATTCGACGGTGGACTTATGAGTCATGGAAATATTTCTTATTGGCGGGCTACCTACTGAGCTTTGTAAAAAACCGTGTAATATTTGGGCACAGTATTAAACCGGGTGTACATAGAAGTGTCATTATGAAAACTTTGCACCACGTAACACGTTAAAGTTTTACCTCCATTACCCAGTAATATTTTATTAATTGCTTTTAAAAATAAACTTCTCATAGAACACATAGGCGTGATCGGTGCCCGATTAGAACGCTCAACAGAGCTTCGACATAAAGGGATAACTTTGGTGAAGTCGGCGGCGCTGTGGGGTGAGACAGGGTGAACTCCCTTTTTTTACTCGGCAGCGCGCAGGTAGTCGCCGCGCCTTTGTTCAAAGTTACCCTAAGCCGATGCCATAAGCGGACTGGAAATTGTGCAATACATTCCTCGCTTTATGTGAGCACCAAAAATAACATTCGCTTTACTATCAAAAGTTGTAAAAAGAAGTCAGATTTTATGAAAGAATTTCTTTTTCGAAATTATGTCAAACTTTTGTTAACAATAGGTGCTTTTTGCATACCTTCCTGTTACCGTTCATAAAGTATTATTTAATATTACTTAATAAGTATTATACTAAACGTATTTGAGGAAAATTTTATTGAGAATAACCACCTGAGAAAAGCCTATTGTGACAAAAAAGAAAAGAAGTATTATTAAAGATTTTAACGTAACTTTGTCGTTTTGTTTGGCTGGAACATTAAAATTCATTCAGGTAAGGACGTCCTGTGGTTTCGGGGGCCTGCACGTTATCTGTGGCACCGCAATGGCGTCGGTAATAGGGGTGCTTCACCAAACATATGCCAGAGCTCATACCTGCCGCCACTCTACTCTCAAAATAGGGATCAGTGGTTAGAAATGTCATAAGTTCACGACTTTTGTGTAGTTGTTTGTTATGTTTAACATAAGAATTTAAAGTTAGTTTTTTGTTTGTACACAGGTACTGACTGAACAAAAAATGTGAGGAAAGAACATGACATGCTTCTCAGCACTGGCGACATCTTAAGACGTCTTGGATTATTCCGGTAAGTAATAAAAGTGATGAATATAAGTATTTTTATGATTTAAACACCAACAATACCTAAATAAAATAACTGAATCAAGTACCTACTGTATCGGAAATGATTATTTGAAAAATAAGATTGTTTGTAAACCACTTTAATTATAACATTATTAATGAATACAGAACCATGTCTAACACCGAAGCAACTAAATTCACAAATTCCACAGTCGAAATTATGGGCGAGGCTGCGCTTCGCGGCGGCCGTTGCTTTAGTAAATCTTGGATATCTGCCAACTCAGTTACTACAACGTAGAATAAGTCGCAGTATGATACTGGTTTTGTACGTTACATTTTAACAAACGCAATTATAACGGAACAGTAACGTGGGTCGGGTAAAGGAGCACGAGCACAGTCTCCGCGCGCACATGGTCCGAGCACCTGTGTACTGTGACTTTGTCGCGGATGCAACACTCTATATTTTGCAAACGCGTGTGCCCAACATGTATACCAGGGCCAATAAACTCCAGTGGAATTAATATGTCATGTGTAGTCAGAAACATAGACCACGAGTGTTGTAATTATTCCGAAGCTTCTAGAAATGTTTTAAATAAATAACGGTGAGTCTCTTATCACTGCACAATCTGCACATGTTTCACAAAATCAGAAGTGTTAAAAGTTTTTATAATAATAATGTAAAGTCACGTTGAAAAAGTTAGAAAGCCACTCCCTGTCTACCATACTGAACGTGTTAATTTGCGAAATGTCGGAACTCTAATCAACCTCTCGCCCCTCTGGTAATTTTAGGCTAATGGCAAGTAGGTGTCGAAAATTCAGCGATCAATTTCCAGTTTCAGTAACGTGCGGGTAATGTTCTCAGTTAGGGGTAAATTCTCTAATAGCTGTGGTTTAATAGAATACACACACAATCCACATGTATGTACGGTAGAGGGTGACGTCCTCTCAGTACTCTCTGCGGTATCGCTGTCATAACAAACATATTGTTATTATTGGTTATCGCTAGTGACGTAATATGCTTATTTGAATCATTATTTTGTGGCCGTCAAACAATTATTTATCGCTCTTTAATGTAACGGATTTCAACAATACAGGATATTTTACTCGTAATGGTTGCCACGTTATGAATAGCTAATAAAAAATAAATTAATAAAATTGAGATTGACAAATAATGTGAATGAACCCTTTGTCGGAGCTTGCATTTCCAAGTAAGTTCAACTATTCTTGAGACGGTGTAACCTGTACCTGCTGATGTCGTGTTTAGTTCCAAGGTATTTTGTAATGAAGAAATGGCATCTCGAAAGTCCAGCTGCTGTTCTATTGGACAATATTAAGAAATTCTGGATGGAGCTCTCCTTGTAACCATTGGAAGTGGAATCAAATTTAAAGACCTGTAGTATGTTATGCCCAGATACGGTATTTTTATTTATAGGTAATTATTTTATCTGAATTTTGTGTGGTTCCCCTTTTTCCTTAAGAATACAATAGAGCTATGGAATTATTATAGTGCAATCTCTTTTTACGTACATACTTAGTTATTATTTTTGATAACTTAAAAATAGTTCTTATATTTTACATACCTATATATTCCATGCAGTTAGACATTCCTTTATGACTATTGTTTTACCAGGAAATTGAATGTATCATTAAGTAACTTAAACGTATCTGCCTTTACTAAACTATGACAGGAATTATACCATACCTAGTTGATTAGGTGCATATCGGTATTTGTTATTAATATTTATCTATAATAAACTAATATCAACCGCGCAAGTAAATATTTTCTTTGATAAACAATATACCTAACTATAATTGTAATAAATCCGAAAAGGTCACTCGGGTGAGTGTAAAAATCATTCAATTCAGTTCATTATCAAAATCAGCAAGGTCATGATCACTAGTGATGTACAAATTACTAATCGAATCAATTGAATGTGACTTGTTATCGAATGACTATTTATCGTTCGGTATTATACGAGTCAATGTACAGCACTCGAATTATTTTCTTGTACGGTAGATAGTTATTCAAATGTTTAGTAGAACAAATATGTGTTTAGCGTCGTTATTCTTATCAATTACTTTGTACAGTTTGTTTTCCGTTTTATATCACTAGGTCAAAGATACATAAACCTGTTAACGTTACATTCGAGTCTCCTTTTTTAATAGCAATACAATACTATTAATTTATAAATCGAATAATTTTACAAACGAAATGTTTGCACTATAATTATTCATTACTTTATTAGTCATTTACCCAACTCTAAAAAAAAACAATAGGTAATGCGTTCAATAAAGATAACGTAGTGTATTATTGTTGCTATTATCTCAAACTACGAACAGATTTTAGAGTTTAATTTCGTTTGCAACATTTTTGTTTTAGTTAAAGGGAGATAAATTGCTGAAAATGTTTTTATGGACTAAATAATATTTTACTAACTATTGTAACTTCAGTCTGTTCGTCTGGTCTGTAGGCAAGTGAGGTTTAATGTTTTTTAATGTCGGATTTGGAGTTATGCCAAGAATGGCGCCTCGCACGTCTCTTATCACATGGTGCAAATAGTTAGCGGAGAATACTATGATGCGCCAGAGCGCTACCGTTAATTATATATTGACGATGCTCTTTATATTAAATCTCATTACTGTAATCCCAATCTAGTTGAAAGCTGAAAGAAAATAAATCCACCTTTACCGTTAATTAACCGATATCAAAAAATATAAATTAGTTCACCAAAATTTTTGCCATCTGCTGTGTATAAAAATTAAGCTAAACTTTGCTATATTTCAATGAAAAAGTAAAAGTCTCGTTTGCATTATAAAATTGTTGGTTACTTAATCTAGACTCCTGTCGTCACAGGACCCCCATAATTTATCCAATTAGCGCGTCTCCTCTTAGGTACTTTAATTTGAAGCTGGGATGCCTTAGAAATATAAGCTAGAGGTTTTTAATTTAAGTCCAGTAATTTTACTAATAACTGTTGGGATCTAAGTAAACAAAATTAGGATGTTTAGTACCCAGTGGTAAATATAATATAGTTAGTTATGTTTTCCTCACTTTGATTCCCGACGTTGAGATAACAGAAAAAGGATTCACAGTGTGAAATGTAATATTGTCTTCATTAAAGTGCAGGCTTACGAGCGAGATAGTGGGACTATTCTACAAAGCCTTCGCTGGTTCTTGTCTTTAATTAGTAATATTATTTAAGTGGAGTTTATATTGTTTACTCTACTGTAGAGTACGAGTACGAGTGTGCGGACACTGATAAGGTTTTTTAAATGTAATTAAACACAAACAAAACTATTAACGGTTGCGTCTGTAATGCAATCTTAAACCGAACGGTATATTAATGACGAGGACATGGATGCAGCTGGCAGTCGACTCAGGTTTTACGAGTTTATCTAGTTTCTAGAAACTATCTGATAAAAATAAAAATGCCATAACGTAGTAAATACATAGTGAGATTTCTTTTAACGGTTCCGATATCAGCTCCGATGCCCTGTGTCGATGATAAATCGACCCCTTATAATCGCGTTGCAATAATAATGCAAAAGCCAGCTGCGAACTTGAATGGCGTCGTTGGTTGTAAAAGTTGGGGAAAAAATGCGTGGCGGAGTGGCGTTGAACCCGCGTCGGCAAATGCACCGGGCCGTTAGCTTTATCCGAGGTCAGGTAGGTACCGCGGAGTATTGTGTCGACTCGTGTCGTGCGCTTTACTAACTAATATATGCACAACTTCTCAGCTGACTGCTTTACTGTTAACGACTACTAATTTCGGTCGGTTTACATTCCACTTGTTTTTCTCAGCTAGCTCCGCTCGACGTGTATCATCAACATTATTATAGCGGTTGACTTGACTTGCTCTAGTAATTAGAATGATTACCGTGTCAGCGTATTTGTAGTAAGAATTACTATATAGTTAGGTTAGGTTAGTTTTTATATTATGTCTGAGTCTGGCTCAAAAGTTCAAATTACTTTTGTCTATAGGTTTTACGGTACCAAAACAACGACAAGGCGTTTATTTGAACCCAACCCCTTAATCAAACCCTGTTTAGGCGACTGGCCTGGTGTTTGTGAGTCTATTGTGTAACCCTCAAATTCAATAGCGCACAAAATTACCTCCAACCCTTCCGTAGCTACCAGGCTCCATAGTCTCAATCAGTGACACTGCAACATCGTCCACTGTTATTTTGCCCGCGACATTGTTTGCTTCCAGCTTGTTGCAACTCCGCAGCTCAATTTGTAACTCGTATTTCAATGCGTACAACTCTATTATTCTCCCTATACAATTTTGTGATGGAGTTCTCGAACTAGGAATTTCTAGTTTGCTTTTAGCATTGTACAAAATGTTTTTATTTATCAAATTAAAATGTTTTATTTAGTAATGGATTAAGTACGTAGCATTGACAGTGAAAATTTAATAATTACTTAGTGTCTCAAATAGTAATAATCATGATTTACGTAAGTAAGTACAATACTTCGAGAACATAATTTTTAGAAATTACTGGTGAAAGCGTCCCCCACACGAGGAAAGAAACACGCATGCGCTGTACGATCGATTCGTAAATAACGCCAGCTCTTCCAATTTTCGCGAACACTGTCTTAACCTTCAGGAAATTACAATGAGTATGAACTATAGGTATGTATGTGTCTACTTACGCAGCACGTACACGGGTATACGGCACATAATAATATATCACGAAAAATAGTCGGATTATCTTATTCAATAGTTACGTGCCACTAATATAATGCCACAGATTAGCCATTAGCTATAACTATAACGACACTATGTACTCACATCTCAAATTAAGATTACAATATGTACATTGTGTCGACAATAATTGAACTCGATCAGACTTTCAGTTGCATCTAAAAAATTGACCAGAAATTGCACATACAAAACCGTTTAAAATTAGATTTGGGAATGTGAAGTGGGTAGTAAAAATGACCGACAGTCGGAATGTCAGCTTTTTAATTTGCATAGCTGTCCCGTATCAACAGGTAAGTATTTGAGTATTTGGGGTGCAGACTGAAATATGAAGGGTGCAAAGCGTGTGAGAAGCACCGCGGGCGAGGGTGTGAGGCGGGTGTTAAGCTGACAGCATCCGCACCGCAGGCAGGGGTGACCACCGATAATTAAATCCCATCCGATATCCACTCGCTCATCCCATTCTGCTACTAATCTTCTTAAAACAATTAATGTCATTAGCAACGTGCCGGCTTTAAAGTATTAGTGTTTATAAGATGTTTTTATCTAGTTAGTATAACATTTTTCCGACCTAATCAGCGACGACACTAGTTCAATCTTATTACTATTTAACTAAGAATTATTCCTTCAGGCACTTCTGTTTAGTTATTTAATAGCATATCGACACATCACGCCGTTCGACTCGTGTCATCATCCGCAGACAGACCGCGAGAAGCGTAACGTTACCCAGACTGAGAATGATTAATTCGCATTGATTCTATGTAGAAATCCAATATGAATTCATATTAAAATTCCTCTTTTCAGGTATTTAATATCATACGATCAGGTTTCGTATTTTTGAGCTAGACTTCCCTTTTTATTAAGTCGAATGCGTTTCGATAAAATTATCGCGACGTTCCGTTTACGAATATTCAATGGACCGATTTATACGGTTAAAGCGTCTGGAAACGGGAAACGGCAGACGCAATCTGCAGACTACCATCTCATACTTAACCGACTTTGTTATTTATTGATTCGCGAAGGCAGACGATTTTGTCATGTTTTGTGTATGTGATTCCTTATTACATTCTAAACATCAACATACATTGAATAAATATCATGAATTCGATTAGAATGGATAAGTATCTTCACAGCTTCTCATTATACTATTTCGTCCGAGAACTATTTCGTGGAATACGTCTGATTTCCATATTTTTCAAGGATACATATTGGACTGATTTACACACTACACACTAAAAAATACAAAAAACACACCAAAAAATATAAAATACGTCATTACGTATTTTATGCATTGATTGTATTCAATATTGGATTTACCTTTTTTACTGTTTTAAAAAATCAGTTAGTATGTAAAATTCAAAACAATAATTATTTTTGCGGGTTTTGTTGCATAGATAGAGCCTTTGCTTGTTTTAGGAAAGTGTAACTGAAGGGGTGTCGTCGATCTCCCCTCACGCCCGCGGCGTGTTGGGGTCAGTAAGCTAATTTCCTGTTGGGAACAAAAACGCTTTGGTACACGTTGTGTGACTGCTTGCACTCGTCACGTCTGTGTCGCGAACTGAGTACGCTTTGAGCTGCCCTTAGCATTCCCGTGGATTACTGGGAATCGGTCCCCGTGTGAATAGAATCCGATTGAAAGGGTTCCCCCGCATCTAGATATACTTTGCATATTTTTTATTACCTTTCTATTTAAATTCTGACTAAATGAAATTTAAGCAAAATAAAATGGGAAGTAATAAATATTTCTGTTTGTTTGTGCAGGTACAAAGACGAGCAACCATCATGACAGACGACGGGTGACGTACAATCGTCATTTTCGGTAAGTTTTAATTGAACACTATTAAGATTGTTTTTCGTAGTTAGTTATTTATATTGTAGTTGCTCAAAGCGAACGTTTGTGTATTGCTCGTGTTCTATATAAATATCTCTGTGAAAAAGTTTATTATCGTGTATTTATGTAATTATGCTGCTCTGCTGCTCTGCAATTATAATTATTATAATTATTAGTTATCGATGTTAACTAGTTGGTTTCCGCCATCTTTCTAGAATTGGAATCAAACAATTTCTCTGTTGTTACAGATTTTATATCGAGAGAAACGGCAGCATCGAGTCGAAGGAGTGATGGCGTGAAGCGGGGATCAAAGGAAACAAAATGGCGACCTAACCTTAAATATTAAAAGGTAAATTTCAATTTCTCTTCTATCTCTTTGATTTATTATTTATACTTAGAATAAGAGTATAGTTAAGGATATAAATTGCATAGCGATTATTGTGTTCGCAGCGACTTTGTATTGTGCGAAAGCGAAGTTTTTATAGGCTTCAACGCGAAGTGTTATGAATGATGTGTGTGACGTTGCATGGGAACGGTCATGGGAAGATTATGATTTGAGATCGTCTGGGACGCTCTCACTGCGCGCTACTATTATGTTGCTTACATTATTTAATGGCGCCTGGGGGTCTATCCCCTCGATTCAGAGATACTATTCAATTCAGTCTTTTGTGAACTTTTTCTTGTAGGTTAACGTAAATCATTTAAAGCTTCAATTTTGTCCTTCCTGTGTGTTTGCGCCATTGATTAATCTTTTGAGGCTGATAGTTAAATATAAAGCATCTGTGGCGGTTTCGATAGGTAATGCCTTTTGTGCAAGTAACTACTAGATCAAACTAATCTGTTAATGGTGGTATTTTTGCACATATACGTTTAACAATATTACATAGTTCTCAACAATTACTTTTATTATAATAAATTATTGAATTATTGTTAAATAAATAATTAAATATCGAAAAATCATTAAATAAAAATTGTACGTCTATAATAGAACGTAAATTGCGATGAGATGTTAGAACGGTGCGTGCCCTAACGTCAACCAAGTACAAAATGGCAAGAGCAATGACAGATAAGAATCAGTAACGGTTAGATAAAGTGTAAAATACGCCATGAAATGTGTACTATCTTTACTATCTAACCTTACTTATCGGACCGTCCGTTATAGTATTCTGTAAGGATATAAACCACACGCATTTCTAACGCGGAATTATTGAAAATCGGATGTTACCTACATCAGTTATTTTGATATCTTGTGGTGTTTTGGTAAAAGTATTATTGAAATCTGGGTATTTATAACCTTTGTGATCTTTTTGAGTAATCTTCCCATGTCGTTAATGTGTTAGTGCGGTGTTGGTGTGTGTGTGTCTGTGTAAGTGGTTGCGTGCTACTAAGTGAGTGAATAAGCTAGCGTATGTCTATTTGTACTGGAACGAATCACTAGAATGCATTCTATGATACATTTGACAGCCTTCCCTGGAGGCGCAGCTGACATCAGGATGCTGAGCAGCAGTGCTGATGGTGGTTTTCTCCAGGTAGGTTCAACTGTACATTTAGCTTTCTCAGCTAACTTCCTTTATATGCCTCAACCCATTTTTGTTGACATACTGGTTTTTGTTATGTTCATTTAACCATTCATCTGTTTTAAAATGTGCGAATTTGTAGCAGCAGCGATAACATTGTTATGTCACTACCTTGCAGAAATATGTACATATGTTTACAACCGCATTTCTATAAGGTTATTCCTACCACATTCTTGGAGGCTCGAGTAGTTTGTAAATTATGCATTCAACGCAGTGAAATATAATATTGTTAATTATTTAACAGTTAGCGTTTTCATTCAACGTTAGGCGTTATCTTACAATAACAATGTAAAAATACACTGGCACGCGACATAATTAGATACTATCAATACTACTAACTTTTAAAGTTCAGATCAGATAAAAACACGCTAATTGCGCATTTTCCAACACAATTAAACTTTTTATTTATGCAAAAGCCGATGCTCGTAGCTCAACATCAATTAGGTGCAGTGAATGCAGCATAATTTTCCCGTACCTACAAATATTTCACCACAAAGCCGCAATTAACTGAAAAGCGCTTCATTTCGTGTCGATTCACGGTCGAATATTCCCTTTCCCGCCGTAAATGCATCCATCCACTCGATCTCAACAGTTTCAATCATTTAGTGTCAGCTTCAAAAAGCAGAGTGCCTTTCGTGAAAATTATATTTCCTGTTTCACCCATGTCGGCTTTTAAAATAAATTTTCTCTTCGCTGTCTGACATTTTGCTATTCTATTTTCATTTCCGATTATGTTTGTGTGTGTCAGTATCAAGTTCGAACTGCAGCTCGTTTCTGTGAACCAGCTGTTAATGTGAAAATATTAACAACTTACTCGTGTCCAACTAGAAAGTGCGCAGGAATAACATTTCTATCAAGTCACTCCTTACAACAGTTACGTTAGGTATAATTATCTATAGTTTAGTCAACTTTGACTGTGACATAGTTACATTATCAAGCTGGGTAGTGACATACAGATTGATAGCCGCCGTGTGTTGTATGGTGTAACACTAATCTAATTTATAATACCTGAACAATGTGTATCTGTTTAATAACATAATTTATCTTGTGTCTATTTTTACGTGGACGTAGTGTAACTTTGCATTTTGCGTCGAAGCGATTGTGGTGTACTGATAAAATAATGTTCGTATGATGTAGTATCAAGGTGTTTGCAGTGGCATGTCGTCTTACTTATCTTCGCTGCTAGTATTACCTAATTACTAAATAAATTACACAAAGTTACGTTCAGTTTGTTTCATATTCGTTAAACAGTTTTTCTTTTCGCGAAAACCGAAGATGCCACTACACACATAATATGGAAAATAGGATAGTTAGTGACACATGTTAAGACCGATTCAAATGCAGAGTTACATGTCTGCTGCAGCAGTTAGCACAGCACATCGATGACTTGGTGGTAGCTCTCTGCTGTGTGAAAGACAGGAGTAGTGAGATGTCCTCGACATCACAAATTCTCACTACCTTGTCTTTCATGCGGATTGAGCACAATTCAACAGACGGCGTGAATTCTGCCAGAAGATACCTCAAGAGTCTCCCGATTCCGCGGCGGTTGTTATAGGTACTTCTTATGAATGTTGATTGTAAAATGCCGACTGTACCGAAAATAGCTTGGCCCAATCAATACCTAACCTAACTAAACAAAATTCGTTTGACGTAAAACAGCTCCTTAATAAATCTTGTATTGGGGATATCTATTTTTGGTATATCAATGTTGTAATTATACACATATCGCAGTAGAATCACTGTCTGCCTACTCCAATCCATAACGAAAGAATAGCATTAATATTTGGTTAGGTCTTTTATTTATGGTTAGGTCATATATCGTACAGGGTCATATGTAGTCAATACAGCATTCTTTGGAATTTACCTGTTCTGTTGCTGATCTTCATTTCATCTTTGTTTTTCTGATTTCTTTTGGGGTCAGCTCTTCCATTCGCCTTTCGCCAGGTTAGTCTCACCTGGATCTTTGAGGTCTTTGTTCGTGCATTTTTTTAAATTTATATCAATCTTCCTTGAAACCCATTATTAGCTCGCTGTCTTATGATTATAATAGAGTTAGTGCACTCAGCGACGCTAATAAAAATGCTTCGACGACGCAACGTTTAAAAGGAAAATAAAATATTTAAAATACCCTTGAACAAAGAGGACCTTATAGTTTTATTATAATTATTGTTACATAAAATTCCATCGAAGTATCGCTTATGTAGGTAAAAAAACTAGAGAACCAATAAAATCTTATTTCCAATAAAATATAATTACCGATGTTCATCATAAAAATGTACAAGTAGTATACTTCAGAATGAATGATGATATTAATTTATGAACTATTTTAGACCTTATTTCATTGAAGTTATAATATATGTAATTTCATATAAATACGTCTTCTCAACGAATGAAAAATAACTTTAACTATTAGTTAAAGTATTCATCATAATTGATTTAGATTTGGGTAAAATAAAATACTCTGAATGTATTAGTTTAATGGTTGGTATTTTATAATAACGAATCTATATGAAACGGAAATGTTCATGCATCGACTTGATTTTAAATAGAAGAAGAAAGTAATAGAAAATATTATTTTATTCGATAACATCACAAAGTGAAATTGAATGCATAAGAACGATTTCGTTTAATATCAACAGGAGTATTGATAGCAAAGAGTAACTAATGTAAATTTTCTAGCCGTTTTTGTTTAAAACCTTTTTCCTTTACTAACCTTGTTGTTATTTTCGTACCTTATGGGTTACTTTTATCGATTATCTCGCGGTAGATAAAAGTTACAAATGATTGCTTGACAGTTAACGGTTCGCTGATGGTTTTTAAACGGCTTTTGTTCGTCTGCCAACAGACTGAGCAGGTAACCGACGAACTGGGGCTTTTACACAATTTTGGGGTTCGATTTTTTATAGGGTTGCAACAATAGCGCAAGGGAAGACAATGTGCTCATTTCCATAACAGAGCACATTGTCTGTGGGCGAGACCATTCTACTGAAGTAAAGATACCTTCGTGTAAAAGGTAGCTCAATTTGATAACTCAGGAATTTAGCCTTTACCACAGCGTGGTTCGTAATGGAAGTCGATGAATCATTGAAAGTATGTCGTTCATATAACCGTTTTGGGTCCCAAAATAGTGCCTTGTGGCAAACCTGAGTCATAGCCATAGCACCGACATTTCATTCACATAATAGTTAATGTTATACTCTATCATATCTAGGTTGTCAGTCGGCTTAATTGTAACTACACGCATTTGCTGATGAGAATATTTGTACGGTAGTGTTTTTAGGTAAATTGATATCCGAATGCAGTTGCTAGTCAAAGCAATTTCATAATGTTAGTTACTTAGGAGCACTTTCATTTGCGGCTCCAGCGCGTTTTACTTGATTAAATAACTTATAGGTACGTAGCGTATATTTATGTTCCTTGATTACTTTTTGTAATAAACCCTCTTCGTCAGAGAGAGTTGACTTAACTGACCACCATATTAATTAAGGAAAGTATACAACTTCAGCTTTCGACTGGATTTTTTAATGTAAACAATCTGCTATCAACTTTTTCTACTGGAATTTATCGTTCAACTTAAAACCTCTCCTTCGGGAGACTTAATGAACGTTAGTGAATGTTTTTAAAACCTTTGATCTTGTTATTGAATGCCGGCCATTTTAAAATCAAAACTGTCTAGGCTTTGACTTCCTCTGTCAATTTTAATTCTTACACAAACATAATCATTGAAGCGAAATATAATTTTACATTTTTCATTTACAACGACAGATTTAATTTCAAAGGTAATAACTACTCCGTACTTATAAGGATTAATATTTCCTTTACTCCGTAATGAAGTCGAAGGCACCCGTTACTAACAATACCCAGTTTCATGATAAATGGTTTCCTAAAATGAACAGTTTGTACATGTCATAAATACTATTGATAAGAGATCATCAATCCATAGGACGATAAGAGATCTTTACCAGAATTTGAAGGCATTTGTTTACTGCCATTGTCACATCAACTGTGTTACTTTTTACTAACCGAGTCGGCCTTTTCTCACTCAGGTCAGGACCTAAACCATACAATACAGTAAAACCGGATTAGGTCCATAAATAATAAAAAGTTCAGGGTACAAGATCTATTCGGGTTGATAAGTTAACTGTTCCATTTCATGTGATAGACAAGTTAAACTGGTACATATATGAGACACGTGGCCATCTTAAAAGCCATGCCTCAGTTTGTATTGTACCAGTTGCTTTTATGTGTGTAACTAGTTGCACAGGTTGTTGTGAACTTGAACCTCCCTCCGAGTAAGTTTGAACACCTGTTTGATGTTTAGTTGTCCTTTAACCTGTTGCTACGCATCATATCGTATGGCCTGATTGGTCGCTGTAATTTCGACGAATACGTGACGACAGGTGACATATTTATGTAGATTGGATTGCAGAATTAATATTCGGCAGTTTGTATTTTCGAAGCCCGTCGATAATCGGCTTACAGTCAGAACTTATTGGTGAATTTCATTTGATATAATCGTGTTTCTCGATGCAAACATCGAGAGATTCGTTATCGTACTAGTATTTGCAACTGTTAGCGTGGATTGTAATATAGCCTTATTTGTTACACATCCAGTATTTCACTTTACAACGATTCTGTAAATCTGTTTCGCTAGGGATGTTATCGTGCCTAACAAGGGTAAAATCTACGACATCCGCCGTAAAGTATCACTAGCAAATTTGCTTGCTCGCGCTTTCCGCTTCCCTGCAACATTACCATAAAATCTTGCATCCAGGTTGAGTACATACATGGAATAAGTTATAAGGCTAGAATAGCCAAGAGTAATCTGGTTTAAAAGTTCAGTATAATATTGAAAATAAATGATTCAGCAAAGACTTACATTATTACCAAACTTTGGTTTTGGAAAATTTTAAATAGATCTTATACATACCAACAAATCTGCTATATTGTAT